CATGAAATAGTAGTTCAATAAAATTTTGAATGGGAGTCAACAAACGAGATGACATGGCCTTTCACCCGTGACCCACCTGAAAAGGGTTAATGATCTCAAACACCTCAATGAAATTTCTTCTAACTCTTCTTTCTTCAAAAGAAGACAATTTCAGAGGCCTTAACCTATCCTCATATGACAACCTTTCCACCTCAAGTATCATTACAGTAGCCCTTCTCTGAATTGTTTCCAACAATTCAATGCTCCTCCTAAGGTGAGAAGTAAAAGACCTAACACAGAACCATAGGGTACCCCACTTTGACTTTGATACAGTTTAACTGAACTCAGTTTATAACAACTCTCTGGTTTTTTCCATCCAGCTACTTTTCTATCCAATGAGCTACCTTATCACCCACACCTATTGAGATCACTTTTTTAATAAGCCTTTTATGTGCCATATTGTGAAATGCTTCCAGAAAATCCAGATACACCAAATCCCCACTCTTGTTCTCATCTATATAAACACTAACCTCTTCTAAGAATGTCAAAAGATAAGCAAGACAAAATTTTCTCCTGGTAAAACCATGTTGACTATCCAACAACATTTTAAAATTTGTTAAATGATTTTGCAAAGCATCTTTTATCAGATTTTCAAAAACTTTTCCCATCACTGATGTAAGACTAATTGGCTCATAACTATCAGGACAATTTTTATCATCTCCCTTGAGAAGAGGAGTAACATTAGCCAACTTCTAATCCTCTAGCACCTGCCCACTATTCAGTTTTTTTCCTCAGCAGTTACATCACATTCTTGATTTAGATATTTAATTTATAGATATGAAGAGCTACCAGCACTAGACTTCAGATACTCTTTTATATGCTGCTCTAAATCATTCCTGTTTATGTTAGTCTTCCTTTTATGGGTAAAGACAGTTATTTGCTGAGAATAAAAAAAATAAAATCTTGAAATCGAAGTATCCACAAATTTCAATCTGTATAGTCTTAAAATTGCTATTACTTTTTCAAGGTGAAAGATAGGAATAATAACCTTCAATGCTGTTAAATTGTTTATCATTATGTAAACAAAATTATATGGAGATTTTGAACACATCAAAAATCACTTTATGAGAAGTGTACATTCTATTTAAAAAACATTTTTAAAATATTGTCAAGTAACGAAAGATGAAAACCACTTTTTTACACTACTTCTTTATGAAAACCATGATAATTACAAGCAGTATAATGAGTTCTATAAAATATTACTCACAGGTATAAGATAGGATAGTCAATAAGGCTATGCAAGACAGTATATGTTGGCTTATGGTATATTTCCATTTCTAAATGAAGATATGAGGTCTAAAACTATACCTGATATCGAGTGGCTTTCAGCAACATCTTTTGGTTGTGTTAAAATGACATAATATTTGATAAGTATATTAAAACATACAGTAGTTATTTTACCTCTGTCATCTGCAATCTTGTTTGAAAACAAAACTAATGTCTATAGTTATATACTTAAATTATTGACATACTTATTCAAGCCAAAAAAAAATTCCATCCATTACATTCCAAACAATTTTACAGTACTCATGGGTAAAATTTTCAAGTGTATGTTTTAAGGTATTTATCAGTATAATTCCATCATTTTCACTCAAATGAGCTGCTAAATGTTAAGTGTAGAATTTGATATTATACAAAAATTTCATTTAAATATTCAGGACATAGCACAGTAAATATCAAATTGCAAAGATTATTAAACCATATATTTGAACTAGCAGAGGTCTGGGGCCTGAATTATGGGCTCAAGGGAGTAACATACTATAATAATCAGAATTCAGCTGTTTGCTCCAATGCCAGTAACTGTTGAAGTGGAATGCCTTATCATGGTGAACACTGATTGTGATGCCAACTACAAACAATTTCATATTTATTCCTACTATCTTTTAAATGAATTATAATATGGGTGGATCAATTGGTTACTTGAGCTTTTTGGTACAAAGCACCAAAGTTATTGGTTCCAAAGATGTTGTACCAATTTTTTGTGAAAAGTAATCAAAAAAAGAAGTTATAATACATCAAAAATAGAAAATATAGAAAACACGATGAAGTAATTCAGTGTTACTGTGTTAAACTTAGGTGGCAATGAAAGCACTAGAAGTAGAACAGCGATCTGACATTCTATTCGTTTTTTACCGATTCAGTGAATCACTGAGTGTGGTACTATAGTCATAAGAATACTTTTCCAACGTTTTTGAGATTTTTAATTTCGAATCGTATATTCTCAAGTTACAATTTCTTGTAAACAATATACTTCAAAACAAAGAACCACTACCGGGCACTAGTCATTATTGCAGTGTCAATAAATCATGCTAATTACTGTCATTCTAGTTTTATGCTATGATTATGACCTACCGAGATTCACTGATTCACGTTACTTAGTTACGAATATGTTACTGTTAGGCTAAAGTAAATTCAAGCACTAACGTAATGGATTAAGTTTAACTTATATTTAGTTATACTTATAAAACATATTAAAAAAGGTAATGCTGTAAGTTGTAACTTATAAAAATAAGATTTACCGAAGACATTGCAATAGTTCCAAAACCCGTTCTCTGTATACAAAGCCAAAATTCTTATAATGTTCTCATGTGTTTGTGAATAATATGCTGTTAACTTATAATTTAGTTAAGTACACAATTGTATGCTTTCTTCTACTTAGTAATTAATAGTTAACAATGTTCCCTATCACTATGTTCAATTTTATATCCACGCTCTGTCTTTAATCATTGTTTACACCTTTACAGGCAGGCTGGTCTATGAAAAGCAAAATCACTATATAAGTTTAACACACTTATATATATATATATATTGTTACGTCTCCGTGTGTTAATTGATTTTCCGTAACTTCGTTCCGACGAAACTTAAGCAACACAAGTCTTTCTTAATAAAACTGGTTTATTCTTTCCGAATATAACTTTACCGATACACTTAATCTCAATACTCGCGCTAAAACAACACTGTAACGAACGAACGTTAACTTCAACAATACTTCTGACTGCAGTTCAATTACTCACTATCTATACCTTACATTACATCACCTTCCCCTCTTTTATATACCAGCGTACCCTATTTCTAGTAATTACTAGA